AGCTTATGTCAGGTTAAGTGCTGCTGATAGGAAACAGGCGCACTTACAATAGGCTATGGGATATCTCAATCAGAATAGCATTATTCTTTCACCCCCCTGACATACTTAAGCCTAATGTTTAAACTCGATCTACGGCTGGATTTGATTTTCCTCGCGCGCAGAAAAAGAACAAATGGCTTGATAGCCAGGGAAGCAGAATACACGGCATGATTTGAGCCAATGGCAGGCAGCACTCGGGATGACATCCAATATACGGGCCTCCTCGAGTCCATGCCCCTTTTGAAAAACGTGTGTGCTACGAGCCCCACCTCAACCGTCAGCAAACTATCCATCATACCTCAGGTGTGCTCCAAGCTTGGTGCTATATTTGTTGCCTGGTAGGTGCCTTTCGACGTGCCCCAGCAATAACATTGCATTGGAATTTGTTAACAACCTCACATCAGGCAGCTGGTTCTTTCTGAACAACGTAACTGCACTAATAGGAGGGAGAAGAGAGCGGGGGGGGGGGGCATGCGACCCTCCCCTTTCTACGGTGTTCTGATGATACCAATCCGGCATATCGTGCAGTTTCCTCAAAAACCTTTGGTGGCCTCTTGGCCATTCATAGCGTGTGCGTTGCCACCAAAAACGTATCTCTAGCAATTCTGGTTTCGGTGTGGCAATGTTTTTTTTAACAGCACTACAAGACGATCCTATGCCGGCGGGTCCCTTATACGGACAGCGAGCGGAGGGCTGGCACTGTTACGTGAACAACGAAGCCCTACGTTATGAATACAGGCTCGCAATAGATAAAACTACATGCAGCCGTGTTCATGCAAAGCTGAAATGTTTAGTTCTCGGGGAAATATGCCCTTAGATTTGTGCTAGTGGGTGTCAGTTAACAGAGGGAGACTTTTACCAATAGCGAGATCTCGTTAAAGTTTGATTTGATTCGTCCCTATTGCTTTTTCTGCGAGGCTTAAGCTTTGTTAGTTTACAAACGTCAGGGAATCCCCCCCTCCGCTCCATCAGTACGCATCATAAAATCCTGCGAATCAGGTTAAGGGATAAGATTGTTGTCTGCCTTCTCTTGTTGTTTTAAACATGCTGGTGTGGAAAACTACATTTCACATAATGAAAACACCAACTTCCTCAGCAAATGACTCATTTCGTTACCAATATAGAAACATGGGCAGAAATTCAATCAGAAAGTCAAAATTGCCCTTTGCATACTAAGTATCCAGCAAATCTGAGCTTACCTGTTATAGTTGCCATGTATAATGTGGGAGTGTCGATTCAAATTAATTTCTGGGGCCCTACCCAACTTCCTTGTTGGGTTGGCTCTTCAATGCCTATTGCTCTCTCCCCCCCCTCAGCATTTCTAGGTGGAAGAGAGCAAAAAATCTGAGAACAATTTAAATATAACAGAAATTTATCTTCTTATGTGTGATATCATCTCATAATATGTTATTCATGGCCCAGCAATGCGAATGCCGTTTGCAAAAACGCAGTGCATTGGAAGACATCACCCCCCCCCCCCTCATATCAGTCGCATAGCAACGACTGAAACATGTGCTTGCAGCAGCCGTTTCCTTATACCTTGATCTTCTTCACTACATTACGCTGTATTGTTCGAGACACTGAGAGCCCGGCTGGTAAAAAAAAGAGAATCGGCCGACCGGCCGGACCATAGGAAATTCACTGATTTGCTATTTTCTTTTTTGTTGCCGGGTGAGGATGAGAAACCTAAAACAGATGCCATGTTGCGGTAGAGTACGGTAAGGGTCTTCACAGACAGGCTTGCTGTGTTGTGTGACGAACTATGTTGTCATGGTAACATGATATCTGTGCATGGAAACCTCATGCCGGGTTTTGCAGAGTCCATTACTTCGTCGTCGTGGCCATCACCAAAATTTTCTGTCAATATATTTTTGACACCAAGCTTTGGGTAAATCCATGCATATTTGTCGCCGACCTTATCAACCAAGACCGCAAGTTTACCACTACGGCTCTACAGCCCTTCATTCGTAGTCTGCTGTCAGGGAAACTTTTGTAATAACACTTGCGTACCAGCCCCGCATGTACTGCAAGCATCTGAAGACCAGCGACGCCCGGATTAAAGTCATGGTCTTCGTTCATTTTACCCAGGCAGTCCACTGTGCACCACAACAGCCACCTTGCGGTCTGAATGTGGAAGCCATGTGCTTACGTCCATTTGCGGTCGGAACAGCACAAGCCGCCACTCGGTCCGGACTCGCGTCATATAGAGCGGCGGATACAAGCGCTGGCAGACCCTTTTCCGCTCCGCTTAGATGAATAATATTGGCATGCGGGGAACACTGTGTGCCCCACATCAGGCAGAGGTTGCGATGAAAGTTGCACAGCGCCGCCTGCACGCGCAGGGCATCTCACATCACAGTGCCGCACGGTATTTCTTGCGCTCGAATTTGCCCACACTAGATGCCTTGCAACAAAGTTGTCAAACGCGCTTCGTTGCGTGGCCCTGCGGGTCAGACCGAGAATAGCTGAAGCAAGATCTCCAACTTACCGCTGTAAAGCGTTGGATCAGTCTGAATTACTGGCCGTTTTGCAGGTTTCCGCTGTATTGCGTACCCCCTAACCGTTTTCCCTCGAGAAGCCATTAGGAGAGCAAGATCAGGAGTTTACCGTAATCGAAATTTCCACGTCTTGCCCACCCAGGATCAGCTTTGCGGCTCATTATTAAGAACTGACTTTTGCATTGCACGTCATAAGAACTGAGCCGTTGTTTTTCAGTCTGGAATTCAGCATGTTTCAACGACGTGTCCAATCATGTTGCGCCTGAGATCATCATGATGCAATGAAATAAATCTGCGCCTATTCACCAACTCCTAACATTCTGTTTCGGGTCAGATATCTGTGGGCTGCCCATCTCATGCCAGGCTGCCCAGTCACGGGGCAAAAGCGGCAAAGAAAACATGGATCTATGTAAGACAACTTAACCGATGCATTATATCGTTATTCTACTTTTTCACGACATGGAGACTACCGCTGACTGGGTGACAGGCTTACGTGTCAAATGCCAAAACCTGCTCGCTGCCGCTCTGGTCGAGCTGAAGACTACACGGCTTGATTTAGCGGATCACGTGACAAAAGGCAAGTTTTTCAGCAAACACGCAGATATGAACGTTGATCACCAATTCATCTCTTATGAAACATCTGAAGCCGACAGAGAACAACGCGTTACACATCGAATAAATTTGAGAGATCTTGTCTTCCAGCGAGTAACGAGTCTCTTAATATTAACCACACATATCACAAAAGCTAGACCCATCCAAAAGGTACAAACTCTTACCTGCATGTTTAAGAACATTCACTTCAGCTCGGGGCTGTAATTTTGAAGAGCTGAGTTTGAGTCATTTCTAAACCTGCTTATGAAATTGACCTGCCTGGGCTTGACAGATCTGTGATCTTGACCTGCGGCTTGCTTTTGTTCTTGGAAATGCCAGGGAGGTGTTTTAGACTGTCCATCTCTTGCTCATTATCAAATGGATAAGTGTTGCTGGGCATAATATAACTTAACTGAACAAAACTATCCTCGTACCTGTCGCTAGGTCAGAATATCGGAAGTCGCCAGATCAAACTGTAGCATTTATGACCAGATTTAGCCATTGCAAGGTCATGCGATTTTATACGTTACACGTCATACGATCACCTCATGCGTCATGCGATTACGTCATGCGGCATACGATTACGACATAAGTCGTACGATCATGTCATGCGATTACGTCATACATCATACGATTACGCAATACGTCATACAATTACGCCGTACGTCTTACGATTACGCCCAACTTCATACGATTACGTTGAACGTCACACGATTACATCATACGGCGTACGGTCATACGATTTTTTAACCTTCGCCGTAAGCGCTTTTTGACAACACTTCCTTCTGTAGCGTGGCTTGTTAAGCTCTTGATGTAGACGACAAGGCCAATTGAACAAAAGCCTTCGCCTCGAGGGAAGCATTGGGCTGTACGATATGTTCGGCTGCTGAGGCTCTATGACGTCACTCCCTTGACCTGACCTGGCATATCGCACGTTACACTTGTCGACGTCCACTTATCATCAGCTGATTGGGATGTTGCAGGGACTATTCAACGCCGTCTTCCGCTTTGCCGTAGCTTGTATAGTTATTTTGATAACAGGAGGGGTCTGCGAAATTTTGCTACCATGACCTAATTTGACTTATCAGGGGTCACATATACCATCGTTCATCACACTTTCCGCGCAGATTTTGACGACAGCCTCCAAATGTTTTCCGTGACTCCAGCATTCTCAATTTTCCAGACTCTAGTGAGAGAGCGGCCTTTGAGAGCCGACCCCATCTCAGGATGAGAAACAGGAGCTCTGAACCTGTCTCAGGGTGAAAAATGCTCGTAAATCGGGGTTAGTACGAAGACAAGGAGAATGCTCACAACGCACAGCGATCATCTACCACGTGACCTTGGGTGGTGAGCCCAGCCTAAAGCGGCCCGGCACGCTGATCCTCGACTGGCTCATGTTTCAGGCGTTAACACCGGTGCTCTTGTGCTGGTGCGCAGCAGTATGCGTAGCTCAGGACATCCCGAGCCGGCTGGTCTGTTACTACACCAGCTGGGCGCGGTATCGAAGTTCCATCGCCAAGTTCACACCAGAAAACATCAACCCGCACCTCTGCACCCATCTGCACTACGCAGTCGTCAACGCCAATGATAAACAGGAGTTGGGCCCGGCCGATAAGTTCTCCGATATTGATCAGCAGGGATATGAGCACATGGTGGCCCTCAAGGCAGCTAATCCGGCTCTGAAGGTACTGATGATGCTAGGAGGATCTGGACAGGTAAAGCAAGAAGTCTTTTTGGAGCTGGCTAGCGATGAAGCCAAGATCGAGCGCTTTGTAAGGGAAACTATAAAATACATCAGAAGGCATAGATTTGACGGCATTGACATTGACTGGAAGGTGGAAGGGAAAAAGGAAGAACACGCTAGGCTCATGGAAGCTCTAGCTGCTGGTTTCATGGAGGAAGCCGAAGAATCACGCATGAACAGGTTACTTCTGACCACCACAATTCCGGCCAACATTACCAAAATACGAAATGGGTTTGACGTCGGTCGAGTTTCTAAAGCTGTCGACTACATGACCGCTATGCTGTACACCTTTCATACGGGTTCCGAGAATCAAACGGCGCACCACGCTGCATTGCACGCTACCGATCTCGACGACACAAACTATGCGGACTTTGTCATTCAGATGTTGAAGGAGACCGGCGCAGACCCAGCTCGGTTAGTAATGGGCGTTCCTACTTTTGGAATCACATCACTCTCGCAGATGCCGAACGTCGAGGCTTCGGAGCTCCAACGAAGGATGTAGGCTACGCGGCAAGTACACCAGGCTGGCGGGTACTCTATCCTTTACTGAGATTTGCGAGCACATCAGCATGGACAGCTGGCGGGCGTTCCGCCCGCGACCGGACGCAGTCGGCCCTTACGCCGTCGAAGGTGATCAGTGGGTGGCCTACGACGACGAAGTCATGATGCGAAGAAAGGGCGTCTACATACGTGAGCAGGGCTTGGGCGGAGCGGCAGTGTGGGCACTCGCCCAGGATGACTTCCGTGGAGTGTGCACCGGTCGGCCCTATCCTCTGATCGAAGCCTTGAAAGAGGGTCTGTTTGCCAATGATATGGCGCCGCCTACCACGCCCAGCCCGCCCCCGACGCCCGTTTACAACACCTCGGTGTTCACGTGCCCAGCGGACGGCAGATTCGCAAAGATGGACAACTGCGCAGAGTTTTATGTCTGCCGCAAAGGCTTGTTCGAAGTGCTCCCCTGCGAAGACGGTCAGAGGTACGATCCTCAGCGAGATGTTTGCGACGAGGATGCTCCGTGTGTCCAACAACCTCTCGTTGGCGTCACCGCCTTCGCTCCAACACCATCTCCGTCCACATCTGGTCCTTTAAGACCAATGGGGCAAACGACACCTGGTGCACAGATGCCACCGACGACCAAACCTCAAGTAGCGACATTTCCCGCACCGTTTGCGGGACCACGAACCATGCATTCACCCTCGGCTCCGGCAACCTCATTGAGCTCGGTCATGCTGCCTTCCGCAACAACTGCAACGCCCGTGACCGAGATGATGTTCGACAAGGAAGTCACTGACGCAGAAGAGCTGCGGCAGCTGCTGGCGCTGGTCCAGAAGCTGGGCGGCGTGAGAAGCGTGCAGAGGCTTCTGGCAGCGATGGACGGTCCGAAGCGCGGTGCTGTGCAGCCTGCCGCTCAGACAACTGTCACGGAGGTCGGCGGTGACCTGCGCGTCAAGGTGCACGTGATCGTAGAAGTGGGGCCATTCTGATTTTGTGGCGCGCGTGCCAGCATGTGGACGCCACTGGAGCCTGATCAGGGATGGTTTGCTGTTCGCAGTTGGAAAATGTGTACCTGCGAGTGACAGCTGTCTCTGAACCGTTGTCATGAATTAAACTGACGCCGAAGATGACAACTGATATAACTCGGACACTGCTTTAGGGATAATGTACTGATGGCGTGTTGGCCTTAGATGCCGAGTTTCCCAGAAATGGTTTCACTTTCATGCTGATTTTGTAGACTTGAAAAAGGTAAGTGCCGAATGTGTACGTTTTGAAAGGTTCGTAATTCGCATGGTATCTTCAGAATAGCTGGGAAAATGCTGAAATTCAGCTATTTGTCCTGACGCCAAGGATACTAGCTCCTGCTCGCAAGGGTCAGGTTATCTGCGGAGTGGTGGCAGTCACGCGTCACAGTGTCACGCTGACGCTGAGTTCACTGCTGTCGAGAACGCCCTGGCCACTTTGGCAGTCACTCGCTGTGCTACGCAAAGTCATGCTTCTAAATACAAGGCAAGTTACACGCATTATGACCTGCGCTGAAGACGGTTAGCCAGTAGACAAAAGACAGCAACAGCGGGCCTGTCCGTGTCAAATCGGGTCGTCGTGTCGTAGTCCGGTACGCCACAGGTCAGCTCGTCGTGTTGGGATACGGTATGTCCTAGTCTACGTCGTATGTCATATGTCATATTTACGCTCATGACCGGCCTGCCCAAAAGGAGGCGTCATGCTGTTCTGCAGGCAGCAGATGACGGCTGTCATGGCCTCGACAGTCGCCGCCATTCTCGGCATCGTCACCTGCGCAGCGTCTACGAATGGCTTAAAATCATTGGGCACATGGTCAAACCTAGTATGCAACTTCATAACTTGTTCATTCTTGATGAAAGATGAACGCGCCCAGACGAATATCGATTTGCCAGGTCAGTGTAAATGCTCCACGCGATTTTGATCTACACTTAACCTTGATTACGCGGGGTTCCCAATATCTCTGTATAACCCTGAACAACTACAACAAAGCCCGTATTGCCATCGGTCAAAACCGGGTCCACTGAATCATTAAGAGACCAAATGGCGCCGACGGCTACTCCGATGCAGTTCTTGAATACCTTAATTTCGTCAGTTGATAACTTTGAAACACCAAAAAATTGCACCGTTCGTGGACTCCTGGCTTTTGTTTCAGTTACAGGACGTACACGAATCATAAGGATTTTAAATTAAAATAGCCTTCGGAATGTCATTTGGTGCAGGTCACAGCCCTGACCTTCTTCAAACGTAAGTCCTTCAAGTTTCTGAGCTACATGTCGGCCAAGAAGTGCAGACTTTCGGGGAAACAATTTCCATGTCACTCAAGCATCCATGACGCCATGATTATGTAATTTAAATGTTGACGTACCTTTGGCTATGCGGGAGATCAAAGCCTAGGAAAATGTAATTGTCGACTGGCTTATATCCGGCATTCTTGAATATGATTCCAAATGCAACGACCATCAACTGGCTGTCAATCATCGCTGCGTGAGATATGATGACGTTATCAAGCAAATACATGTTGAGGAACATATTTGCGAAACAGAGAAATTGTATTGTACATGGCAGGTTTTTCACTTGATAGTATGCCGATGGTAATAAGTAAGCCGAGAAATTTGAGAAGATGCGATTTCGGGAAAGTTGACGAGGTGTGATTTTGGACATTCTTAATTTCATCCGATGGACACGGTTCGCGGGCGTAGGTCAGATGCGAATGCACTATGTTCACCTTCAAATGATAAGTAACTCGAACGGCATAGTACGCGAGTCAGGCGAGAACGTGCAAGACGTGGAAGAGACGGGTTTCATGCATTAATTGCGTTGGGGTTGGATGGAATGGTCTCTTTTGAAGTAGTCTTTCAGGTAAGTCCTGTTTTATCTTGACAAGCACCACTGAACTGTGCCATATTCTGTGCTGGGCTGTGCTGTGGCGGGCTGCCCTCCGCTGTGTTGGCTTCGGCTTGATCTGTTCTGTTGTCTCTAGAACCTGTCGGGTGTGCCTAGAATCTATCTTACTTACGACAAACTCCTTCTCAACTCACTTCTCTGTCATTAAGCCCTCCCCTCAGTCCTGAATTCCTGTTGTCTCCCGTACTGTGCTATCGTCTGCTTCCCTGCCTTGTGCCGTTATCTCCAGCCCTGTTCCATCCTGCTGTCTCGTGTCCCGCGCTGTTTTACGCGGTGCATTTCCACTCTTCCCGTCCTGGCATGTTCTGTACCGTTCAGTTGCTTTTTACTCCTTACCGCTTTCCTCCCCTCCCCCGGTTACGTCTTTTGAACCTTTCGTGTCATGCCCGATTGTGGCGGACCCTCTGTGAAGGCTAGGTCTGGCTGACATAACTTGGCCTTTTCGTGATGTGCTTTGCAGCCATTTTTAATGTTGCCCAGATTAAGCAGGGAATAACTGCCCCCTGCCTACACCAGATCCGCGGCCCCTCACCATGTTATGCCAAGCTCTAGCCGCAGCCCAGCCCCAGCCCCAGACCCAGCCCCAGCCCCAATGCCCAGCCCCAGCCCCACTCCCAGGTCCAGGTGCAGCCCCAGTCCCAGGCCCAGGTCCAGCAGCAGTGCCCATTCTCAAGCCCAGCCGCATTCCCAGGCCCAGGCCCAGCTGCAGCCCCAGTCCCAGGCCCAGGCCCAGGCCCAGCCACAGGCCCATTCACAAACGCAGCCCCAGCCCCAGCCCAGCTTTGTGGTGCACCACTTACCGCCGCACTGGTCACGTTACGCACGCAACATACGACAATGTAGCCGAGGGGGGATAGGTGCAGGTGCGCGGGAACGATGTTCGAATATGGGGACTTCAAAACACCGTAATGGGTCCTCTGGGATGAGATGGTGGGTCCCCACAGTGCCAAACGGGCCCTCTGCAACTCAGAATGGAGTGAAACTCACTAAAGTGAATGACTTAACTTCTACAGGGCATAATGGGTCCGCATGTCATAATGAGCCATCTTCAGGACGGCAAGGAGACTTTTTAAGGCACGGATGACCCTCTAAAGGCCAGAATGCGCCCACCTCGCAGGCCAGAATGGGCTCGTCACAGACATTAATTGGCCGTCTACAGGTCATAAACGGGTTCTACAATCCGAAATGGGTCTTCGTCATGCCCAAAATTGCTCCCTTTTGGTCAGAAGGGATCCTTAATGGCCCAGAGCTCGACAAAAAGGCAAACATTGGCTTTAGCTTGACCCCCCAGCTTTTCAGTTCGGGTGGAGGTAAGCTGCTCTCACTGCCCCCTCCCCCACCCCGCTTGCCGCGCATGGGTGCCATCCCCCACACCGCCCCTCCTGGTTGTATACAGTCCACTCCAGTATGGTCTGGCTCCGTCCGGTTCCGGCTGGCTTGGTCTGGTACCATTCGGCTTCGTCCAGTCCTGTACCATTGGTCCGGTACCATTCGGCTTCGTCCAGTCCTGTCAAGTCCTCCTAATGCCATCTAATTCCGTGCAGTCTGGTCTCGTCCGGATCCGACCAATCCCCTTCAGCCGCATCAGGTCCCGCGCAACACCGAACAGCGCCGTGCCGCCTCGTCCCGGTCCGGACCGGTCCCCTCCCATCTTGTGCGAGCCTATTGGCTCATCTGGTGCCGTCTGGCCCATTCATTCACCATTCATTCATATTCACATCATTCATCACGTCGCGGGGAATTTAATCCAGCCGGTTACACAAGTGTCCAAACTGGCCGTAGCAGGTCCCACCAATGTCGGCGCCTCAAGGACAGACGTGTGTTGGGTGTTGATCGTTGTCACATGATATCATGTGATCTTGCGTCATCTGAGTCACCCGAGCGTTTTCAGTGCGTCAAAGCTGTGTTTGGATTTATTGGTTGTACCGCCAATTCTCGCGCAAATATTTAGTGCGCTTTGAATTCTATTCTCCGTTTGAGAGAAGCTATCCTCGCTGTCAGGCAGTGTCTTATGTAGAGATGAACGAGTCGTTCTAATCCATCATGTCGTGTTCCAAATGGCAACTAATGGTTCAATTTGGCAAGACCTACCAACGTGTAATAACATCTCTTTACAGCGGCAAATACCTTGCGTCCCCAATTAACGATAGCGTCAATAACGGTTCCAAGAACCTTCACTGGAGGTAGGCTTAATTTTTGACCTTTTGCCTTGTGCGTTTTAAATTTTGTGAGAGGCATTTCCATCAGAAAACTGAGAGTTGTCGGCAAGCGGGACAAGTTGTCCAAGGTGAAACAAAGAAGGCAGGTCATTGGTTAGCATTAAGAAAAAGCTTATTCACTAAAATGCTTCTCTGAAATACACCGTGCGTGACCGTAAGTGAAGTTTTACCGCCTAAACCAAGCTGTGAACGGCCCTCAGCCAGCCACGGACCCAATCTCAGTCCCTCACAGTTTCCAACGTCTCGCGTCTTCCGTGGGGCTTTATGCTCCTTGACCATACCTCCCGGTTGGTCGTGTTCCCCTGCAGGGCGGCGCCGAACGTCGGCTCCAGATGTGACCGCTCGGCGGCATTCAGGCCGCGCGTGGTCCGTGCCGTCCGTGCCGGCGGCGGAACAGCTGATGGCGCAGGCTGACGAGCGATGCGGCGCAGTCTGGCGGTAGATGGCGTTTTCAACAGCAGCTTAGTTGGTATGGGTGTCGCTCGTCGTCGGGCGGGTTCTCCGTCGGGTTGTTGCATGGTTGCCTACCACTCATGCTGCAACTGCTGTATTAACCAGACGAATTAGCCAAGTCTGTTAAACGCATGACAGTACGTGTTTTATCCGATATATTGCATAATGGCATGGCCGAAAATGTGATTAGTGGTTTCTTGCGATACCCTGCCATGGAAATGCGCCTCCAATGCCATATGCCGGAGACATGGCGGCACGACAAGTGCCTTAGGAAACGTCAGAATATTTCAACGATCTCGCCGCCACATGAGCGTGCGTCTATTACTTTGTCTTACTCTGGCTATCACTTCTTCGAGACGATCATCAATCACCGCTCCACAGCAAGGTAG